TGTTTCTGAATATGATCAGGAAGGAGCCTCTGGAATATCAAAAAACGAAATTTGATCGGTTTTTATTTTTATCGTGTTTTTGCCATTAGCTCCGCTACCACTAGACCGAATTTCAAAAACTACGAAGGTTTTGTGTCCTTGGCATCGTGGTAACACTATGTGAAAATTTCATCTAAATCCGAGGGTTACTTCTCAAGTTATAGGCGGTTATAAAATTAGCGGATAGACCGACCGACAAAAATTAGTGACATGGTTTTTCGTGATGCACATGTCACATAACATACAAGAAACAATATCTCATTTTCGAAAAGTTTCGCGATTACAATACTTCCCCGCCCGTAGGCGTGAGAATTAAAATCAAATGGATGAAGCCAGTTGGAAATTGAAAATCCTAGCACCATCTGTGAGATAGTAGCAAGAACAAACACTTTGGCTGTTTTCAAAGTAGATTTTTATATTAATTTTTGTGTTCTCTTACTGTCTCATACATGGCAGCTGTTATTTCTCAAATCCATTTTTGAACGCCGGAGTATGGCTATCTTCAGGTAGAATATGTTAATCAATGAACTGAAATAAGCAAGAATTTCTGGGGTATTAACATGTGTTTCGGCTCTTATGAGATCAACCCTATCCATCTATAATCTATATATGTTTTTACACATCTAGGTATAGAACCAAAAAATCATTGACTCAACCTTAAGTTAGCAATTAATTTCACAAGTTCAGCACTTTGCAAGCGGATTTCCCTTGACATACGACATTTTTCATCACCCGACAAGATAAGGATGATAAAAACTACTATAAAGAAAGAAAAATACCCATTGTATTGTCGATTTTACAGTATAGTGTAACGACAGTTTTCAATAATGCACCGGAAACATCCGTGAAATTGCTCGTTTTGGCCGACCTACGAAAATAAATGGTGAAAAACAGGATAATTTTGTTTTGCGGTTAACGGACAGATTAAATATTTAGTTTGAGTGCCTTTTTGTAGTTTTAGGTATTTATACGCTTGAAAGCATAGAGAACAATTTGATGTAACTTATGAGAACCAACTGAATAGATGATTATACCTTTTCATAAAAGACGATGTCATCAATCCAAAAGAAAAAATGGCGTCAAGTAGGCTGACTGCACTTCCGACACAACGCCGACATTAATTCATAAAGATTATATTCGGCACAAGATATTCCCTCTTAGAAAAAAGTTGGCTACGAGCATCTTGTAACACCATGTATAGTGCGTTAGGCCACAGTTTGAGCACTGTAATGTGTTGTCTAATTGTAGGTTAGGTATCTTCACTTCAATTGAATCGGCTTTATTGTATCAAATGCATGCAGTACAGTTGAGGAGCAACTTTTTAAAACACATTATGTCCAATTTGGACAAAATTGAGATTGAAGCTGCTTCTGAAATCATTTGTTGTGTTCTACATTCCTATATATACGTATATAAACGTTCTAAGACGCATTGTATACCTGTGTAATTGACGTGCAAAGTATAGGGTTCACATCAAAATGCATTTTTTCCACTAGATGTAGTCGGATCAAAACGCATTGTGTCATTTCGCCGCTGGAAGGCGCCAATATCGACCAAAACAGCTGCGTGACTGACGTTTCAACAGAAAATCCACATTTTTATATCTGGAATGAAACAGAAGCTGCAAGAGGTGCTTAAGAAATTTCTTCAGCTTAGTAGACGTTTTAGACAAATTGCATATTGACTCCATAACCCAAATTATTCTTTTCGCGGATTGCTGCGCAGGCCAGAACAAAAATCATCACGTTATTTATGCCTTAACATTCTGTACTTCAGAAAAACTCTCCAAGAAACATAAAGCAGATAGTAATGTATTTCCCAGTTCGCGGCCACTCCTACCTACCTGCCGACCGGGTATTTGGTCAAATTGAGAAACATCTGAAGAGGTGTTGGACTACACAGCTTTAAATTTACAAAGAATATGGAACTGTCAGAGTACTAGGCGATGATTGGTTTATTAAAAACTTCACAGACTAAAACAAATTGATGGAATAAGTGACATGAAAAGGATCTTTTTTACAAAAATTTATAAAAAAGGCTACATTGATGTTAAGATAAAACTTGAGCCCACCTACATATTCGACGACACTTCGAAACAGCCAATGGCGATATCAAAACGAGGTTTTACTTTTATATGCAGAATCGCTATAACCTACCACTGGAAAATAAAATCAAAGAAGAAAAAAAAACTGATGTTCGGAAGCTGCTTTGTGCAAGATTTGGACAAGACTGGGAAGGTAACATCCCGCTATCGTCGTTTTTGTTTTTTAATTATGCATTAAAACCTATGCCAGAACCAGATGCTGAAAGTGCAGATGCATCCAAAGATGTAGCTGAAGAAAGATCCATGTGCGACTTTTTTACGCGTGCTTATTTTTAACATTATTATTCACGTTTGTCTGTTTCAAAGAAATTAGTTAAAAAAAAAGAATATTTTCTTGATACTAGTTGGTATCTTCAAAATAGCTGTAAGCCGAATTTCACTACCAACTGTTTTCTGTCAAACCAATAAATTTCAACAAATAGTATTATCTCCGATTTTGATCACAACAAAACGAATTTTATGCGTTGTGACGAAACAAAACGCATAAGTCCAAACATAGATTTTTCCACTTTTTCTGATAAATTTTGATTTAACTGCGATAACTTATTACATCTGTGTATTAGTTTCTATCAAAACAACTCACTGTCTTAAAAGTATATGACAAGGTTTAATAGAAAATCGTTTTCCGTTAATACCCAAAAAAGCATTTTTAGGACAAAATGCGTTTTGAAAAGTTGCTCCTCAATTACAAATGGCGAGGTCTGGCCAATGGCAATTCATACTCAATCATATGTTGCCAGTTAGATGACGGATAGCTGTTTTGTTTCATTTCTAGCCAGTTCGATATGTTTTGTGTTTAGAGCTCTTGGTTTTTCTAGAAAGTAATCTTCACATGTAACCAGGACTTATAAGGCAGAGTATAGAGGTAGACTAAGGTTAAATTGTGTGATTTTTTGAGTGAATAAAACGAGATAAACCGCGAAGTATTCCATTTGAATTATTACAAGAAGAAGACACTCGTGACAATATATAACAATAAGAAATTAAATAGATCATGTCAGCCAAACAGACACACACAATTAGCCCAGAGTCCCCATGATTTGACAACATTGCGATCTAGCCTACCGCCCTATTGACAGTACCGACCGTTCTTGGCATAGCAGCAACCTTGTGTGAAAGTTCCAACAAATTGCAAGCGGTTCTTCCCAAGTTATAGTCGGGCAGACAGACCGAGGGAAATTAGTGACATGATTTTTTGTGATGCACATTTCATATGACATCTAGAAAACATCTCATTTTCGACATATTTCGCGATTGCAACATTTCCTCGCCAGTTGCATTGGTAGTAAAAAAATTAGCATATATTTTTGGTATTTAGATTATTTAACTAGACCTTAGTAGTGATTTAGGAGTAGTAGCAACGATAGGAACCTGGCAGCTTTGGATGTTAACGAACCCTGACGTACAGACTTGTTAAAACCACAGCAGATCATTACTGAGAAACTGTAAAATTTGAATATAAATATGTAGATGGTAGAATAATAGCTTTATACGCACGCAAGTTTAGGAAGAATGTGCAGAACGCTGCAAAATTGAGGGCAAGTCTCATACTTATGTGTATTCAGTATGAGTTTTAAATGACCGGTTGTAGATGAGATTACCGCAAGATTGAAATAGCACACATATAAAGATTTGCTTACACGTACTCTAGTGAAAATATGTTAATCAGATCTTTTATACTGGACCAGCCGCGAATTGTGATATTGAAGGAATCTTGTTTCGATTTTGGAACAAACCAAGAACTGGGAGAGATAATTAGTTTGACCACATTATGCTTTCTAGACTGGTTTCAAGTAAGAACAGACATACCGTTATTATTGCAGGAATTCAAAATATCAAAGATTAAATACCTTACTCTTCATATCGTATACATTACAAAGGCGAATAAGGGGAATATCATGATATACTTTCCACTTTTTCTGTTGCTTCTTATATTATTGCAAGAAGAAAGTGAACATTCCTTGAAATTAATGGATCGTTGATAAATAATGTTCATTTTAAATGGAAGATAATTGATCAAGAAATGTTCGACCTCACATCAAATTAATCCATACTCCCACTTTGAAGAAAGCACATGCTTAAAATAATCTTAAATATCAGAAAGCGGAATGTTCAGTGTTAAATTGGTAAGTTTTTCCATACTTGGACATAAATGGACGTCAATCTAGTTGACGACATTTTGTTTTCATAAACATTTGCAAACTCCCACATACCAAGCTTAATGACTGACCTCAAATCATGATTCAAATTGAAATGTAAAAATGAAATATACAGGCTCTTTACTCGTATACTATCATAGAAGTGAAAAACTAATGTAATTAATTGATTGTCACTTTCAAACAGCTGACTGCCTACACAAACCACCTGATTGAAATTTTTAATAATAATTTGATTAAGGTTACAAATCCGAAAGAGACTCAAGTAGGCGTAAGAATGTAAAAAGTTATTTTGAATTACACATAAATGCCGATAACCTGTTTTTCTACAGGTTAGAATGATTTAGCTTTCGCAAAAAGGTTTTAATTGGCTTACATACATTCACAAGGAAATTTAATGTTGCATTATGAGGTTGCTAAATTTATAGTATTTCAACCTAAAGGTTGTAAGGTCTTGTTAGAAGATGCTAAAGTTTTAGGGTATCACTACAAGTTGTAATAATTGTCGATTACGTTAATAATATTGGGTTATACAAGATAACACTTGACGACTCTAAAAGATACTGTACAGTATGTACATGTTGTTAGAGATGCTAATATTTTGCGATGTTTCACAAGAAGTCTTTCTTAAATCTTAGTTTCAGCCATAAACTCGGTTGTTTGCTATTACACCTGAGTGTCTGTTTTTTTGACCTACTTACTACTACAATTTTCAAACATAAATATTTGCTGTGTGGAAATCCGTTTGTGTTTCCATAATATTTTCTTTCCCAATTTCATCTCCAATTTTAGATTATTGGTTTTATCGATTCTCTCGTGAGTCACGTCCGACGTTATACCTTTTTCTTCATATGTACGTTCACCATAATTCTGTAACAATAATTGTAGTGTAATTATTACATCGATAAATGCAAAACATCCAATATAGCTTTTATCGTAACCGTTCTTTTATATTTTTGGAGTTGCCATTTTTTCCTCAGCTATAGATGGTGATTAAGGGGTAACACCACTGGTAACAGTCTTGTATCTTTTTGTGAAAGAAATGGTAATATAATGATGATGTTGGAGGAAGGTAATAAGTAAATATTTAAGAAGCAAAAAAAGAAAATTATCATTAAAAAATATTAAAAAATGCCAGCACCACCACAACATTTTCTTCAAATCGCGATTTTTAAAATTGCACGAAGGGTTGCCCAAACGTTTGTCATTCTTTTAATTCGAATTTTTTACATCCTTAAAATAATATTTTTAGGAGAAATGTATAGGGAATTTTCGATAAGCTTATTTAATCATTATTCATTAGCAAATGATTAATTGCGTCCTTTCATCTAAAACTGCACTTTTTGCGTCTAATACTCGCCAACCACACAAAAATCAATGTTCAATACACAGTACACGTAAGATAAATTTCATTAAAATATCTATAGTGGTATTTTACATATTATATTAATAATAAATGGCTTATTTTTGAAAACTTTGCCACCCTGTGTCTCAAAGTCAAGACGTTCAGGACATACTTTGATATGAAATTTTCTTCTTAAAATGGATCCAAAAATCGCACGATTTCGAAATTATAAATTCAACACCCTGTATTCCGAAAAATAAGCGTTCTTCTCATATACGTTACTTTGTGCTTTAGAAATATAGCCATTGTTTTCTGAATCAGGTTATATACTTTTGCAAATGCTAATTACGGTTTTTTTGTTTGCAGATAATACGTATCGTTTTAGATACAATTTTTGCAACTGAATGTAGACGTATCTACAATTATTAATTTTTTATGAAATGATTTTCGGCCACTATGTTACAGATACACATATACATTCACTTGATATATTTTTTATTATCTATAATTTCGTGGAAAAGCCGGTTATCAGTATACAGGAAATAATTGTAACAATTTCATAAAACCACATCAGTCTCCGAGGAGATATGATGTTACAATGTGTGCATTATTATGTTCCACATGGCGCGAAATGTAATAACATGCTTCCGTTCACTTGCGACACAAACCTCGGCTTTCTACTACATCGAAAAATACTCTTTCGAGAAATTCGATAAGAATTGTTGTTACAAGAATATACATTCGTTTTCGTTGCAAATAATTATCGAGTGATAGACAAGCGCAACGAAAATCCAATAAAGCTCTTTCCAGTACACTTGGCAGATAGTAAACTAAACTCGAGTATGCCATCTATGCCATCTATGAGCAGCTCGCCAAACAATACTGAGTTTTTCAGTAGTTTTATTTTACTCGATATTCTGTCCCAAAATTTACAATTTTTAACATGCTAAAGGAGGTATATGGATATTATTGGAGATTGAGCGAATCGAAAATGTTAGCTATGTTACCAGTAAATCAATATATTGCTCATTCCTTATTTGTTATCTCAGTTTTTACTCATGTAGCCAACATTGTGGCTCTGATCGTTTTTGCACTGTTCCTCTTGGACTCACTGTTTTTGCGATCATATCTTAAAAGCAGCTGTCACCAACGGCCGTTAATGTATTTGTAAGTAAGCTAACCCCTATAATTAGCTCAATCTCCTATAACATCCATACACTTTTTTGTGTTCGATGAAAATGGTAAATGTTCGGCAAGAATATTGAAAATTGGCTCAATTAGACCAATTTAGAAGTTCGGGAACAAAATGCAACTATGATATGCGATATGCTTATTCATTTCCTTTACGAAAAAAACTAATTTTGCGACTCTTTATTTTGGAAGGAGTCCGAATTGTCAGCACAACTAAACAATGAAAAATTTCGAAAAAATCACTTTTGACTAAAATATTTGCCGAACGAATTATCAGATATAAGTTTAAAACCAATTTTTGTATTCTCTGTAATATTTTACTCCGGAGTAGTCACATATTGCGGCGCCAGATGCTTTCCAATTTGTTTTTTATACCGAAGCAGCTGCGCAGACAGAAGCCTAAATGCCGGGACACCGCGGCTGCTATGATGATCCCAAAGAAATTTTGTCAATTCGATTTTTGAACTGCCTAAGGTTAGTAGGTGTAGCGAGAAAATTGAAATGTGGAAAATACTAAAATTTTCCGGAGCCTTGAAATTTTGCATGTGTATCCTGTGAATTTACGATTTTACAAAGTCTCATGATTCCACAGGTTTTCTATTCAAAGAAGTGGAAGGCCCAAGCACAAAATTCAGTTCATATAGAGTAAAAGGCACTTTACGTAGAAAATAATTTTGTATTAGTTTTGGAAGGAGTTTGAAATGTGAACAACAGTGAAAATTTTCGAAAAAACTACTTTTGACTAAATATCTGTAGAGTGAGTTATCAGACCGCAATTTGTAGGTCATTTCTTAATACCTTGGAAAATGTTTCTTCCCAATATTCATATAATCATATATTATGAGGCCGAATGATTTTTGGCATCAGGAGTAGCGATAAAATAGAAACATTGCTAAATGGCGAAAATTTACATTTTTCCAGACCCAACTGCACGACTTACTGTCCTAAACTTTTATGCCTCCATATGTACTATGCAGGAAATCCGATTACAGATATGACCCTCCGAGCCAGATCGTGGAGTTTTAGTTTTGACCCATATCTATAATGACTACACCGTACTGATGATCGCTAAGAAGCATGAAACAACATTACATACGGTTGGTGGTAAAGACGGAAAGTAAACATTAGTATTCTATTTTTCTTGGTGACAAATTTTGTTGTGTACACTAATGGTGAATTTTTACACCTATAAAACTTGAGCTACTTTTTCATCATCTTAATTCCTACGCCACTGGCGTGGAAATATTGAATCGTAAAAAATGTCGAAAATGAGATATTACTTATTTTGGGTGTTGTATAACATGTACATCACGAAAAACCATATAGGACGAAAAAGCTTTATAGCTTTTGGAAATCGATAAAGTGGCGGCGGAGCTAGGGACAATAAACTAAACAAATAAAAAATCCTTAAACATTTTTGGCGTTTCAGGAGATCATTTTTGAAAAAAACTAATTGTATGAATGTGTTTGACCAACTTGATCTGTTTAATGTTTTTGTTATTCATGTTCATTTTTTTCTCAGAGGGGCCAACTTGTGCAGATCAGAAGCTTTTATGAACTTACGAAGCGTTGCGTAGGAAGTGCAGAGTCAAGCTCATTTTTCATGAATGAATGCACAGCTCAAAGAAGTCTCACACTGAATTACATATTACTGGCATTACACAGAAACAGATGACTAACAGATGCATACGCACTTAGAATATATTACCATACATTAGAAAAATTATCTATCTAAAGACACTTTCGCGTTATATCATGCATGTCATGCATACTATAAGAAAGGCATGTGAGCAAGTAGTTATGGGATTTGAATAATTTACCACCAATCAGGGATTGGTTAGTCCATTGCATTTCTTAGCGATTCTATTGAATAATTTCTATATGATAATAGAAAATGATATAAATCTTGAATCATTATATTTCATTACGCAAAATTTCTAATCTAGACCCCCATATCTACAAATGTTGTAAACCCGATAAACTGGGATGATTTTAGGACGGTGACTTAGAATATGCTTATGCAGAGTTACTTATTTCTTTCTATGAGTGAATCGTCTTTAAAATTGAACGAAAGTTCCTCAGGAGTCGACCAAAATGTTACATGTTACCACAATTCAAAAGACACAAAACTTGAATTACTATACTGATGGAATTTTCTTATTGTTTCAGATATACTCTGATCCAGAATCAGAAAAGGCTATTATGAGTTCAGTTGTCTACTGCATTCACCACAAGGAAGGATGCAAATGGTCAGATGAATTGAGAAAGCTGAAGGTAAATACTTTTTTTTGGTTATATCACCTTTTATTCTACTCTTGGTAGGTCCAAATGGGTCGTTAAATTTTATTACACCTCGGACAGAGGATAGTTGCTATGCTTTCGTTCGTTGTTCCAGAGACCAAGTAGTACGAAATACCACACCTACTGTACCGCCAGAATCATTTGCCTCTAGCGGTCACAGTGGTGACTGTGCTAACAAACGCGAGTGATCTTTACATTCCCAATCGATAGCTGCTATGCACTCTCGTATTGGTCGATTCTGGTACTAGATGGAGATTTCCGCTGTCTTATTTCGTATATTTTAGTATAAACAATAACTATATTGAAATAATTTTCAGGGTCACCTCAATACCTGCAAACACGACGCCATCCCTTGTACAAGTAAGTGTGGTGCACAAATCCCCAGGGTGTTGATGGAAGATCACCTTAAGTACACATGTCCACAGAGAAGGACCAGATGCGAGTTTTGTAATAAGGAGTTCACAGGGCATTCTTTGGAGGTAAGTAAAAAATGGCGTCAAGAAGTTACATCAGCACTTGCCCTGTAATGCTGTCATCTTTAAAAAAATATGTTCAGCGTAGGTTAGTTGGGCTTAGAACTAGGAACATGCATAATGCCATATTTAGGTAAAAGGCAATGAAGTGTAAAAATCAGTAAGAGAAAGCGAGAGAGAATGGTCAAAATCGTAATTTTATCGAACTAAATAAATCGTATTATTTCGATGCAACAAAAGTGATTGAATATGGCAAGGTTACATGACTTTATAGAGAGTCATTGTAATTTCGGATCATAATTGTTGAAGGGGTCTAAAATAAATTAATGAATTAACTGTCGTAAATCAGAAAGCAGTATCATGTGACTTGCTTCTTAAAAAACTAATTTACTGCTTTTTTCGTACTTTTCAGAATATATTTATATTGTTAATTCAAAGGAAAAGCACTGTAATACAGAATTTTATTTTAAAATAATATATTCATATTGAAATTCACATAAATAACACAAAAGTATAAATATATTGTCAACATCTAATAATTAAATTTTATAATTACCTTTAATGATTAAATAAACTAGTTACAGCATATTTTCTTATATGCTAAGTTAAAAGAAGAATATTTTTCAAAATTAATCTTTCGGAGTAAAAGTAGGCAATTATTTATACCGATAAATAGTTTTCAAATAATTGAATTATCACATAAAAAACATAAAACGGTAAAAAGGCAGTACTAGTATTACAGTTAGAGATTATATATATATATATATATATAGGTATATCAAATTGTTCACACAGTCTTTTCATTGTTCTGAAACATTGTGCACCAATTTCACCCAAATCTTTTTGTCCCTGGCCTGTCGAACAGCTTCTGTCCAGCTGAGTCCTCTATTCTTCAATGTCGATGAAATTTCGTCGTTTCACGTCTGTTGTGGTCTCCCTCTAGTTCTTTTCATAAAAACTTTAGTCTTCCATATTCTTTTCACTGCGGATTAGATGTCAAACCATTTCAACTGGTTTTCCTCAATTTTTTCCAAGACAGATCTAACCCCTAACTCACTTCTTATAACCTCGTTCTTAATTCTGTCTCTCCTGGTGACTCCTTTCACAGCTCTTAAGTATTTCATATCTATTGCTTGTATTTTGCTTCTTTGTCTATTGTTCAATACCCAGCTCTCGCTTCCAAAAGTCAGAGAAGGTCTGAAAATGGTTTTATATACAGTCATTTTTGTGTTTCTTTAGTACCTACTAGTATTATATAGAGAGTAAAATCAGAATTTGAAAACTAGTGCTTGTTTACATCGATAAATTGATTCAGTGCTTCTATGCTAAGGAAATCTGTACGAAATATTTGACAAAGAAGAAAAATAACTATTGTGTCAAAAAACATAATCAATAATGTATTTTGTAATAAAAGAAATGTATTAGCGTCCAAATTTTAAAAAAGAAGTAAATGAATTTTACTGCCTCTTACCTAAGTATGCTTGTACCGCCTAAAAAACATAATATCCAAATTTTTCGTTATTACAATACTTCTTAGTCAATCGGTGGGGAAGTATCTATGAAGACAAGTATTGTTTTTTTATGCGGTCTCAAAAAACAACTTTTAAATATTAGCAATGTGTGATGCCGGTCTGTTAGCGCACTTTACCATAAAGTGTCTTGCGTTGCACCCAATATAAACACAGACATGTTAATGAACTTAACCATAACATTTTTCCGTTGAGGAGCGGCATATGTACTAGACATTATCACCGCTCTGTTTAGATTAAACTACATGCGGGGGAAGTCGACATGTAAACATAGTCAAGATTATTCGAGGCATAGAATGAGAAACATGCTGTTTTTGTTACTTCCGTTTCAGATTCTGACTTTATGGGTTTCCCTTGCGTTTCTTGTTTGTGAGGCGATTATTGTGACGTTACATATGGTCGCAGTTTATTTGGTGTAACGAAACTTACGTCCGATCGAACGTTAATGCATAATGCATTTGTTTCAAAATCCGAGGGTTGCCTCAAATCAACTCAGATGATTTTTCTAGTTCAATTGTTTTCCTTTTCAGAATCACCTAGGTAACTGCGGTCACGAGCCTCTGTACTGCGAGAACAAATGCGGAGTTAAAGTAGCACGAAGACACTTAAGTCACCACAAAGCGACCGATTGCGTCAAAAGGCTGATTGGCTGCAGATATTGTGGTGGAGAATTCGTAGCAGACACGTTGCCCGCACATCATGCCAAATGCGGAAGAGTTCCGGTACACTGCCCCAAGTGAGTACCGAATAACATATTAGGCCACATCTACTATACTGCCAGAATCATCAGCCTCTAGCGGTTACAGTGGTGACCAGGTCATGAAACGCGAAATGAGATCTTCACAGTTCCAACTTACAACTGCTATGTACTTTTGTAGTCGATTCTAGTATTATACCCCATTCTAGTCCAGTTTCGCCCAGACAAAACACAACATGCCCAAAAGCGAGATTGTACAGGTCCGTATTTTTCTCAATGGTCTTTTCACAATTGTTTATTCGCTGAAGTACTTGAATCATCGTCCGAATGATTAATATTAATTATTACAGGTTCAATATGAATATCGTATTGTACAGATCCCACATCTTTGTTTCGATTGTCTCTTGAACGTGACGGATACAATCTTTCCAATGGTTTGCCGTCACTCTGACAGCTTGGTAAAACAACTTTTTCACGTCAGAAAATTTAAATGTTATTGTCTGCAGCCACGTAGTTTTTTATATTTGCCCAAATCATTTCAATGGGATTTAATTCGCAGCGGTAGCCTTAAAACGGTCTTATTTTGGTTCTTAGCCATTTCGTCAATAACATTAAGATTATATTTATATTTATGCTGCCTGACTAGATCGATAAGTTCTGCTTTGACCATATTTTCATTGAAACTAATGTCTTTTGATAGGCGCTATTATCGAATTTCTGCCTATCTTGTGGACATTATGGGAATTTTTTTCTAGTTTTCTAGTGTGGTATGCAGCATTATCAATTGACCGCCCATTTAGCAAAATACAGGGGGTGCATGTTTGGGGGTTTGGGGTTATGATCCACTTCTTACCCAAGGATATCTTCTTAAGAATTTAAGAATATTTCACTTTGAAGCAGAGTCCAGGGGGGGCATATGCCCCCTCTTGACTCCCCCTAATGGGCGCCCATGATTATCAAGTACAATGATGGCATTGTCGTCAAGCTTTGGGAGCGTTTCTTCAAACCATCGTTCAAAATTTCTTCATGGTAGTCGGTCGTTTTTTTTTCACTCAAATACCCATAGGGCAGTGGGCATCTTCACTGCCATGCGACAGATAACACATCGTTTTCCTTTTCCTGGAAATAATTATTTCATATAGTATTCAAGAAAACGAATAATAATACAAGCATAGTATGTAACAGTTGCTGGTTCCAAATCTACTAGATATAGATAAGCTTAGTGTAGCTGAGTTTTCAGCGTGGGCTCATAGATTCAGTCTACTTGACACCATTTTTACAACACAAATGACGAATTGTTTAGATTCTCGTACCTGACGGATTCTCCAGGCCAGTGGTTAGTCCATCTAAGAAGGTCTGCCTTGCTGATTTAATTGTAGAGTCAGTAATAAATCTTTGTCCTGGTCGCGGTATTTCTATTGATTTTAAATAATTTCTTCTCCATAAAATAATCTCTTGGCTGTCCATCAAGATGCTGTTTCTGCCCCGTTTTCTATACTCAAAATGAAGTTCTCTTCTGAGTAAACTATTTAATGTAGTCCTTTTGAAAGTAGATAAGTCTTCATCACTATTAACCTACTGTAATACGAGTACATTCTTTGTCTATGGTGGGAAGTTCCTGCCTTTCAAAAAATTGATGGACCTTGCGTCTGATGGCATTCCGATCAAAGTTATCAACTGTATCTAGCAGCTTCGTATAATGATGCGTCTTGTGTAGCAGAGACAATTTTTTGTTTTTTTTTTATATTCTTTAACAATGTTGAAAGTTGTCTTAGGACAAGCCAGTTGGTCGCCACACATCTTTCAATATCATGAATTTTCATTTCGGGATGCTCTAAAATTTTGTTCTTATGAACGTTTCTTTTGCCTGAATATTCAAATGTCCCTTCTTGTCACGTTTTCGGGGAGGAGACATCACTGAAGAGGAAGCATGGCTGAAGGAAGCATTGGGAGAAATATTCTCAGTTTCATCTGCTGTATCCGTAGACGACATGCTAACATATAGACACGCTATGTATGCCGGCGATATCCCGAGCCTGAGTTCTATCCTGTCGAATCCTGCATTTGTTCGTAGTTTTACGCTTAGGCGTCTGCCGCTTTGCCGCGCTGCATTTTTGTTGCGCCAGGTACTAAATGGACTACGAACAGGGTAAGATGACGCTTTGCGCTGTCTTATTTCGGTATTTAATTATCTAATTCTGAGCGTAGTATATTTTTAAAGGGGGAGGGGGTTATCAGTGTTATCGTCCTCTCTGAGAAACACTACTCTAGATGCAAGCATTGAAATTCCAAAAAATAAACGTTGTTTTCGCCAACACATGATTTTAATATAAGATTTTGTTTGATTTTCAGATGTGATATAAGCATAATAGCAAGAGAAGAACTTGAGACACATTTGAAGGACGAGTGCACAGTTTCAGTACACAGTTGTAGCTTCAAAGAGGCAGGTTGCAGGTAAGAGATCCTAATATACTTACTTCCTATTTATTTATCTTAGCCTAAGCTTACATCGGAGGTTCAAGAAATAAACTAGATGCTAGGATAGAGGAAAAATACAAGTTGTTGTCATTTTGATAGTAGCTTATCTCGCCATCTCAAATCATATGACCTTGATCTCTTGACACACCACCTTACCATTTAGAAACACTTGGAATGTGTTATCTTGTCACTACTCGTACCGCATGTGGTGTGGCCTCATTCTTATCAAATAAAATGAAGTGCTTGAGGCTATAGGGTACTTAAACCACATTGACTTTATTTCAGCAAATCTAAAGTAAATCCTGAAACCACTTGTCTTGCTGAATTCAGATTGATATCCTACAATAGGTTTACATTCACATACATTGAAAGATATAAAGTATTTTCGTATAATACATTTTTGAAAATACTGTGGCTTCTGGCTTCTGGTGCCCTATTGAAAAAAAGTGCTTAATTTAAACATGGTTTGTTCTAAAAACATATAGTTTGGCTGTGACTTGAAACAGCACACTTCAATAAATTTCATGGACTCTATAGAGTACGTTAAGTTTCTTTTTCATGAGAGCAACGGAGCCCATTGCGTAACAGTTCTGTTTTTTCATTCATCAAAAAAAGCATAAGCCACATCTATTTAAGTAAAACATATTTTCCCATTTTACAACTGAAAGATGACCTAAATGGAAAAGCTCTTATGAATGTATATTATGGGCGGGCTTATAGCCATATGTCTTATAACGTTATGCTGCCCAAAAAAGAATCGTCAGATTGATTTTCGCAATGAAGCCACTTTACTCCTGCAGAGAAATATTTTTAAATCACATGAAAGTCTTAATTTACACTGTATTTACATTTTTAAATGTGTAACTTGCGTTAAGAAGTTTAATTGTTTGTTCCCAAACATTAATGCTCATTATAATTGTAACACTAGAAATCAAAATTTAAAATCACCCATAACACAACACATTTAAAAACATCACCCTACAATAACCGCATCAAATTATACAATAAATTACCAGTAGAAATACAGTAAGTCAGTAATTATTTTCGATTTAAAAATCAAATTAAGACATTATTAACATTAAATGCATGTTATAACATATGGAATGTGGAACCTTGATTTTTATTTATATTGTTATATATTTTATTTATAGTATATACCTATCTTATTTATATTTTTCTTCCCCCACATGTACTATTATTCTCTATCTCAGTGGTTAGATATAACGGAAGTGAAGGCATAAGCCACAAATGTGTTTACTTGTCCGAGTAACTCGCTTAGAGTCACTATCAGAACTGTGATCAATCGGAGGATAGTGTCTGTCCTTCCCACTGTCATCTTAACTAAATCCAGAACCATCTTTGTTTTCTGTATCATTGAAACATCCATTGATTTTACCATCGACGATTAAGTGGCTTATAGTCTTTTTGGCGTAAAATGATAGCATGGCAAAAACGCGATTTAGCGAATCGCCAAAAAAAAAAAAGATCAATTTCGGTCATAGATATCTACGCCACGGGTGCTTTTAGATAGCAATGCGGTTTTTTATTCAAATTAAGTGTAGCTAGCCCTTCATAGAACCTGTAGCTACCTGAAACTTCTACATTTTAAAACATTTTTTTTAGGTTTAAAGGACCAAGGTTCGCTTTAGAAAAGCACTTAGACGAGAGCAGTCAACAACACCTGTCCCTGATGTGTGGCGTAGTCTCCAAACAGCAACACCAAATTGCCTCCTTAAAAAGCGCCCTCTCTCGGCTATCGCTGAACTACTCCGGCACGCTTATTTGGAAAATCAGCGATTTTGCTGCCAAAATGGCCGAGGCGAAGAGCAAGGAGGGCATGGAGTTGGTCTCGCCGCCGTTTTATACTAGTCAATATGGATACAAGCTACAAGTAAGAGATAAGTCTAAAAACCTATAACATTCTCATTCGACCCGACGCGCTTCCTACTCTTCGCTCTCCCACTTCCGGCTTTCCTTATTCCTTTTTTCTCCTTGACGTTGGCATCTAAACAATCTGATCTGACATACAATATTTCAACCAAAAGCAAAGGACTTGGAGCTCCATAAATTAATGTTTTGAGTCAATATCATTATTTTCAACAGTTTAATGTAGATTCTTGTTTACGTAGCGGCCTGTAAAGTGGTGCTAGATATATATTTCTACAAATTGGTAACCTCCGAGGGAAAAAAAACGTGTAATCTATATTCACATTATAGATATCGATAATAGATCAGACAAGAAACATTTCTTTTCAAATTAAGGTGAATGCTCATATTTTGCAATGATGCACATTCACCATACTCTTAAATAAACTGTTTCGATGTCTAAGATAAATACGTAACTTCTTTTAACCCCCTTCTTGCCACAAGTACATGTACAGAGTGGGGAGGTTATGTGGAGAAAAGTACTCCTTAGCTCTAAACAAATAGCCTAGCTTTTTCCCAACAACTTCCGCGATTGAAGAGATCTATTCGCGAAAGATCGTGGTAACCCGGCTTCTAAAGAGGGTTCTCTCGTAGAACTCGGCTATGCCTCGAAGACAGATGAGCACTAAGGTTCTCTTGTTACTCAAGGTACATTGAACTGTAATAGATTATTGTGTTCCAAAACAGTGATAACCTCCAGATGTCTCGTCAGAGAGGAAGTCGCAGCTAGTCTTCTTCCCTCCAGGTAACCGGTACATATCGGCTTGGAACTCTGAATTCCTGCAAGTAGAGTGCTGTCATCAGCAAAGCTGTGGATCGGATTGATCGTACAGGAAAGGAAGTCGTTGATATGTAGAAACAATGTCGGCGCCAAGATCGATCCCTGGCGAACACCCGGGTTAACTTGTGGGTTGAAGGAAGAACCCGTCAATTACGACGAATATCTTGCGACCAATAAGCAAGTCAGGCACCTATCTGCAAAGCTTCTCTGGGAGACCATGAGATGAAAAATTGTAGTTTTTTTTAATATTGAAACAGTACTGCATTTGTTAAATACGATCAAGCCTGGAAGTAGATTTCATAAATGAGATAAGCCTCACCAAAAGACTGGATGAGTATGCCCCACAGTTGCGTGACGTAACCTAGGAGGTTCCCCGTTGATCCCTGGTGCCGGAAACTATACTGCCTGTCACTAATCAGTTATATCCAAGCTATTCCAGAAGCTACTACTTTATGCACCTCTCCATCACCTTACTGATATAATAGAATAGAAAGCAGTGCTAGAGGTCTGTAGTTGTAAGGGTTGGTCTTAGATCCTTCTTTGAACATTCTAGACGTGAGCACATTTAAGGTTTTCCAGAAAAGTACTGAATTTGTAAGATATATGAAAAAGTTGCGAAAGAATGGGGCAAGCACCACTACACACCTCTTCAGTATAACGGCAGGAGTCCGGACTAGAGAAGCTTTGTTGAGGCGGAGTGACAAGATCGCCTCTCTTACGGTGTTAACCTGAAGGTTACTTCCCGCATCACTATGCGGGAACCCTTTCAATCGACGACACTCGGGCATTGGTGGGACGTCCGGTCTTTCAGTCTGTTACAAGCATTCCATCCTGGAACTTCGACGTACCATGCAAGAATTGCATAAACTAAGCACAGACTGAATATAATCTGTAAGCATGATCAACCGCATACATCATTGTTTCATGCTTTTTAACAAATCATCAGTACGGTAACGATCACGGTTCACGAGATAATCAATCACCTCTAATACAGGGTGGCCGATATGTGACTGACTGGTTTGTACCTTGTAAAATGAAATAAAACACGTCAATTTTTTCATCTTAATCTTTTATTGAAACTTAGAAATTATGCATGAAAAAGCCGCGCAGACCTGAGCCCGCTTGATTATATGTTCCATCACTTTTTGGTAGGTTTCGGGAGGAATATTTTCAATCGCTTCCGTGATATTCTTCTTCAGCTGCTCTACAGTATTTGATTTGTTGGCATAAGCCCCATTTTTCACAAATCCCCATAAAAAAGGGCAGGAGCCGTTAAATCCGGTGATCTTGGTGGCCAGTTGACATCATCAAATTGAGAATTTAAACGTCCCGGAAATATTGTTCTCAAAAGATTCATTGTTTCCCCAGCTGTGTGACAAGTTGCTCTGTCCTGCTTGAGCCACATGTTTTGCAGGTTAAATTGTTGGATTTGAGGAGCCAGTTTTGCACCATATCACGGTCGCGCTCACCAGTGACAGTAAGAGAATTACCTGCAGCGTCTTCAAAGAAGTAAGGTCCAGCGACATGTCCATACCAAACACCACTCCAAACTGTGACTCGAGAGGATGTAGTGGTCGTTGATGGATGACACGAGGGTTCTCTAATGTCCAGATACGACAATTCTGAATTTTGTATGACAGCAAATGCAAGACTTTTTTTTAAATAGTGTATAATGAAGTGCGACGAATACCCCGTACTTGAGAACGATGTCTGGTAGACGTCTCAGGGCGCTCCACTACACTTTCACGAACTCTCGCGAAATTTTCCGGAGTACCAACAATTCGAACACGGCACGACCTTGGCAAGTCTTAAACTTTATATGTTTGTTCAAATTTCCACACCACCTGACGAATGGTGTTGACACTGGACACATTATTTCGCCCGAAATCTTGTCATAGCTTCCGAATCGTTGCAACAATCGACTCATTATTTAAGTAGAACATTTTAACAATACGGATGGGTTGTGCGATCGTGTAGCGATCCGTGATTAATTGGTCACTACTGCTTTAAAGAGCTAAGATGGCGCCACCTACTGAAATGCGTGTATAAAAATGGCGTGCAATTTAAATCATTCACTTATATATTCGCCACCCTGTAGATATATATGTATGTTCGATTACTGAAAAACTGCTCTTAACAACTTTTTATTCATTGCAGGCCTCCCTATTCCCGAATGGTAACGGTGCAGGCGAGGACACGCACATCTCAGTCTACATCAAAATCCTCCCAGGCGAATACGATGCCCTTCTGCGATGGCCCTTCGCACATTCAGTCTCTTTCACACTTTTCGATCAATCAACCTGCCCCGAGAAAGCTTGCAACATCGTGGAAAGTTTCATACCGGACCCAACGTGGAAGAATTTCCAAAGACCCAGTAGGGAACCGGACTCTTTAGGGTTCGGGTTCCCTAAGTTTGTCTCGCACGAGATGTTGAAGAAGAGGCATTTTATGAAAGATGATACCATGTTTATTAGGGTTAAAGTTGATCCGAGTAAAATTGTTGCAGTTTGAGGGAATAGAGAGATCAGTGAGGTAGTTGGATGTATAAGGATTGATGTGTGGAACCAGTTGGTACAAATTATTTCCAACCAAAATCAAACCCCTATTTTATTATTGATTTGAGGAGACATGAAATGTTGCTCCTGTGTAATGTTAAGCATCATTTACTTCATAAATTGCAGTTAAGAATTATTAAAAAAGTTATTACTGAAAACCTTAGGTGTCCCTGATTCGAAGAATAGGTGCCAACACCGGATCGTAAAAATTGTCAACCATTAATTACGATTGCATTCTTAAGTAGAATTCATCGTGATTCTACATATCACTATCCTACTCTTAAAATTCCAACTACTCTACTGAACAGTTAGTTTGATCTCATGTTTTGTAAATAAATGTAAAAATATGTATATTTTTTCAAGGAATGATATTTTGAGTTCCATAGTCAAAGATGTAGTACCTACTATTCCACCATGGTTTTATGCCAAAGATGCGGACTACATGCTTATTTGTATCAGACATTAGAACGTCTAACCAAGTATTCTGAACTGTACACTACATTTGTTTGATTTGACTTGAAGCTAACGTAGCACTGTAAGGTACATTATCTCATGTAACTTGGCAACCTGTAACACTCATCATAGTCTACTTTTTAAAAGTTATATGGTCACTTTGCCCACTAAAGCTACAAGTAAAACTGGTGAAACCACTTATTAAAAATGCAACACTTTTAAAATGACCACAAATTAGACAAGTTTGACAGCAATCTTGCTCATGATGACTGACTTAAAGTACTTGAAACCACACTAACATTCGCTCATAGTCTCCTAAAGTTGACCCTACAGCTCAAGAAGTAGACTTTTATCAATACTTACATACGTATTTTAGTTTGTTTTACATATATTCAGACAGCATCTTTTGTATATTGCGAAATATATCTAAAAACTGATATTTTTCTATGTAATGGTTAGGTTTCTCAGGAAATTTGTAAAAAGTGTTCTGCCAAAATTTTACTAGAACGAATGTTTACGTTTCGTGTTTTTATATTTTTGTGATAGCTGGAAAACACCAAAGGTTTGTTTATAGATAAAAATACCCCCTGTATATAGTTTATACATGTGTGGCGAGATGTTAGTCTATATAACTTAGTCATATTTTAAGGTCTGTTTTCTTTTTTGGTTCTGTACTGAATGGGAGTTCAGTGGAAATAAAGACTACCTTTAACATAACATTAGTTTTATTTCTTGCTGCTCGCATAATATGAGATTATTATTCTAATCATATTAGCGAATACCTCGAAATAATTGTAAAGTCTGGTTTTATTGATGCAAGTTGTTCAAGTGGACGCATAAAATGGGTACACCAATATTTGCGGGAAAACTATTTATTTGACAACGAAGAAGGAGAAAATGAGTTTTTTGGAACTCAATCGAACGTGTTGGCAGGAACGAAAAACTCTTCAAACAAGATTCGTATGTATTTATGAGACTTACAGAATGAGACAAACGTAAAAATATACCACTAATAGTAAAAAACTTATATCTGAAAACCAACACAAAATGCAGGTTTTGGCACTTGTTGCTAAAGCGACAATAATTTCCCGCAGCTGCTTGAAATTCTTCCAATCCGTATGCTTCATGCTTTTAAATAACCACAACAAAATTGGAGTCGATTGGTGGAGTAGTTTTTGAGAATTTCTTATTGTCAAAACACCTGTCTTCCGGCCATCACTACTAGTTTACTGAGCAATATACAGGGTTCGTTCAAAGGGTATTTTATAGCAAAATACACGAGTTTACCTTGCCGACATAAATCATAAACCATTACGAAGGATAATTGTTTTTATGCGAAAAAAGAAGGGATACCTTTTTTTCTTCAAAACAAATTCAAATATTTCGTATCTGTGAGTAACTGAACAGATTCGCTACGATATTCGAAAAACATACGTTATTATACAAATTTTAAAACCAAGCGGATGTGTCTCTCACCCTTTGTTCGAAGAAAATTTATTTTTCTTCATACTCTTACTCTATTCATATTTAAAGCTAAAATTTTTACACGGTCACAGATAAGCCTTAAAGCTTGTAAAAAAAATATTCCATACTGAAATGCGCTGAACTATTTATAAAGTTATCACGCAAACTGAAGATACAATTATGTTTCAAACTGTCTTAGACTAGTTAGTATGTAGACTGTGCTAAATGGCTGCATTATGGCTGCATGACTTTGTCAAATAAGTAGGTCGCGTAATCCAGCTGCTTTACGAAGAGATATGATTCCCAAACTTTTTTTCTAAAAGTATTAATATAGTATACGTCTGTTTTCGAAATCTCGTTCGATTGAAACGACTGCAAGTTCAAAATGTTGGAAAATAAACTCGAGAGAATGAAAAAACAGAAGATAAATATCAACCAAGGCAACTGACCGTCTTAAAAATTATGAAAAATGCTCGATACTAGTCCCTAACACATTACTTAAAGATTCAGCGTTGTATAGTTTTCAATAGTACTGTAATTGTTTATAACAGATTTGGTATGCCTCCAACGTTTTCTTGACATTTTTCAATGTCAAGGTATAGTGGTATAAGGATTCAGTAAACCAAGGGTATTTTCCTCTAATATGATTAGACGATTTTATATTTATCAGGCGACGTTGATTCTTCCTGCAGGAAAGCGAGAACAACTCCCGCACATCCATGGTCCTAGGGGCATAGTCTGTAGGACATAGGAAAAGGTCGAGGTTGTAAGATCCGTCAGGAGATATTTTACAGCCAACGGCGTCAGTGGCAGTAGTGCCTCCCTTAGTGATTTTCCTCAGAGGAATCTTCAGAAGATTCCTCAACGGAAGAGCTGCATGGCACATCAGCGGAATCTCCTGAGACTGCGCATTGCACACCAGCAGAGCTCCAAGGTCATATTAAAAACCTCAAAATGCGTAAACTACCTAGAGAGGATCGAATCACTAATAAGGCGCTGAAGCTACTTTCGCGGAAGTCCTTAATTTATCTCGTGGCAATAATCAATATCATGCTAAGGACCCAGCTCTTCCCAACGGCGTGGAAGACCGCTGGTGTCATAATGATTCCAAAGAAGGTGGGTTCGATATTCACCCAGGATTACCGCCCCATTAGTCTACTGTCAGCGCCTTCTAAGCTCGCTGAAAAGGTGATTCTACGTCACCTTGAAACTTTCTCGGCAGACCACAATGTGATTCCTGACGTGCAATTTGGCTTTCTGCCTGAGCATAGTAAGGAGCTACAGGCCATAAGGCTTGTCGAACGAGTAACCAGGGGGTTCACCCTTAACGAAAGTACTGGCATCTTGCTTCTGGATGTCTCAAATGCATTTGACAAGGGGTGGCACAAGGACCTTCTCTACAAACTGATCCATAAGGGCTTCCCCTTCTGACACCTAAAACTTTTGAAATCCTTCCTCGAGGGTAGGGCGCCCGTCTGAGGTTCCAGTGAATGGAGCTCGGGTACCATGGGAAAGCTCTTTTAAGTATCTCGGTGTCACTCTTGACAAGGGAATGACCTGGCAGAATCATACTGAAGCGTTAAAAACTAAATTCCAAATCTCGTTTCGGCAACTCTACTCTATGCTATGTAGAACATCAAAATTAAGTTTGATCAACAAAGTTCGGTAATATAAGATGGTTATTAGACCAGCGATCACTTACGCAAGTGCGCCTTGGTGTTTTCTCGCCAAAACGTATTTGCGTAGCCTGCAGGTTTTGCAGAACAGAACCTTGCGTACAATCGCTAACGCCCCATGGTATGTTTCCAACGAGACCCTTCACGGAGACCCTGACATATCCCTTATCTAAGGGACTACATCAAACAACAAGCACAGCTACGTTATAGTCAAGCGGAATCGCATAACAACCCTTTGTTGCGCGAGTCAGTAGACCACACAGTCGAGCAAGTTCGCAAGCACACAAGGTCCCGACTCGCACTGTGAACAAAATTAAATCGTGCGACTTTAGGTCCAAATAAAAATTTTATTTTTTCTTCAACAACCAATCCCAAAACTAACTTCAGGATCAATTTAAAATTGCCGAATACTAATTAGCAATGCCAAGGCACCCCTCAAATTGACGTACTTCTTTTTTCTTTACTCTCCCTCCTTCCTTCCTTTCTTCTTCCCTTCTTTCTCCCTGACTTTGTTTGGTATCTGGGCAACCAGACCTGACAGACTTACTGACTTACAAGACTTCAACCAAGAGCAAAGGTCCTACGGACCGCTCTGACAGACAATGACGAATAGATGACGTTGAACAACAAACATACTTTTTTGTATACATTGTGTGTAGACTCTGGATAACAGGAAACTCATGTCAGATATTCAACGAGTTTGATGGAAGACTGCGAAAAGACAATTCTCGAACTAAAGAGTTTCGCAACATTTAACAACTTTTTGATAATCATCATATTCAAAATTAGCGTCCCAAAGTACAGTTTATTGAGTCTCGTTTACTTTAGGTGAGGAACGAAAATGGAAATTTCACCTGGAACCTTTAAAAGTTTCTGATTACTATGGTTTTTAGCAAGAAATTAAGTCTAGAAATGTCCAATCCATATTACATACAGTACTTTTCAAAAAGGCCTCCACAAATATATTTTTTGAACGGGTCAGGTTAGCAAGCTGGGGTAATGAAACTGATGCACGAATTGAATATTTTAGCGTACAAGTGGCAGTTTGGATATGGCACCTTGTTTAGAAGCTCCTTATGAGTACTTTATAACCCTAGAATGTAAAATCACCAAAATGACGCCCAGCTGCCATCTTGTAATTATAAACTGCCATTTTACGTTCAGACATAGTATTTCATGCATAATTTTCATCATAACATTAAATTTCAGCTTGCTAACTTGACCCGTTCAAAAAATAAATAGGGAGGGGCCTTTTTGAAAGTCATTATAAAGAATATAAAGATGCACATAAATAGCAAGATTGCGGAGCATCAACATGAAAGATGTCCTAAGTAAATAAAGTAAATTAAATAAAGTAAATCTTTTACTTTCTTAATTAAAACATATGCCCTGAAAACCAAATACCACTGACGTTGTAATGTGTACGAGAAGCGTGCAATACGTGTGCTAGAAAGAGATAGAAGCACCTTGTTGCCAGCAACCCTACCGACGAGGCCATGGATGCCATCAGCGCACTCTTTCTAGCATACGGACGCTTCTTGCGCTTATCTCTCGTTCAAATTATAAGTAACCTGAATTTTTCCGCTTCTTATATTTGGTTTCTAGTAATGTATAGTTGTGAGACGTAGACATTGAAGCAGTATATAAATTTCGTCCAAGCATTTAAGATGTGGATGTACAGAAGAATCCTGTAAATCAGCTGGAAATAGAGAATAACCAGCGACGATGACAAACATGAAATGGGAAGAAAACTTGTCTTCGCAACATTAAAGAATGGACTACAAAGGACGGAGTCACTTTAATGTAGGTATACAACACATAATACGTGGGAGTGGGATTATGCCATTATAGTCGTCAGCCTCACGAGAGATGACACCTGGGAAGCTGAGGTTACTGCGTAATTCCGATTCTTTTTTCATACCGAAACAGCTGAGTAGCCAGAAGCCTAAAGCCTGGGGCACCGCGACTTATTTAAGGAGCATAAAGACACGTTTTTAATTCGATTCTTGAACTGCATAAGGTCAGTAGAACTGGGCAAATCCTCCTCATGGAGATTATTCCACAATCTCGAAACCCTAGAGAGAAAGGAGTAGTCAGACCGGCCAGATCTGGATGTACGAAGTTGTGTGAAGTTTTACACACGCTGAGGATGGGAGGCTGACGGAGCAAAAGGGTGCCAAGATTGTCCGTTAGAGAAAAGTCACCGATCAGTCGGACGACAGCCCACCTCTGAACAGCACCGGGCATGGAAAATGTAGTCGTGTTTTCGGCGGTAACGCGTCGGGGCGGCCAAATATGCGAACAATATTCGAGGCTACGCCTTATCTGGACCTTGTGTACAGAGTGACGATGAGGTTATGTGGTGAAAATTACTTCCAAGCCAGAGTAGCTTTTTGAACAGCTCTTTAGTAGAACTCGGCCATAGAGCGAAATCGAAAGAGTACTAGGGTGCTCCTAGTCTTGGACGCATCACATGCACAGACAGCTTCTTTCATGGTCACATTCGAAAGTGTCACAGTTGTCCGGAGTTTCGTTCATTTGTAGACATGGAGATCAAAAAAATTAAATAGAAAAATA